ACCGAGAGTGTTTCTTCTTGGGAATTTGTTTTTCACATTTATTTATTTCATGAGAGAGACACATACACCATGGCCTTCCCCACCCCCTAGCCTTCTGGCTACCCAGAGTCATGGGTGTACATAGGTATACCCTTACATTCAGGACCAAACAAGTGCCTCAGCTTCACTAATAATTGTAGTACTACTTGAATGCAAGTTGAATATCCCTTATTCTTGAGAGTAGAAATGTTTTGTATTTCAGACTTTTCCAGATTTGGGATTATTTGCATTTACATAATGAAACATCTTAGAGGAAGGACCCAAATTGAAATTCTAAATTTATTTATGTACCTGATACACATAGCTTGAAGGTAATTTTATGCTTTTTTTCCCCCTAGAGGATTGTGTGCTTGCTAGAGATATAGAAGGAGAGGGTGAAAAACCCCCCTGAGGGGGAATGTTCACATGCAATCCCTTCTCAATATCTCCATCTTGTTGGAGTTTGGGGCAGGTGCACATATATGCCTGGCATGTTTTTTAGGCTTCCAGCTCTGGGATTCGAACTGTGCAGTCAGCCATGTAGGATCTAGCTTCCATGGCCATAGGTCATGCAATTGGCCCTATACAGTATTTTTGTATTGCAGTGTTTTGACTGTGACCTGTCAAAAAAAGTCAGGTGTAGAATTTTTTCAGCTGTGGCAGCAGGTCAGTGTTGAAAAAATTTTGGATTTGAGAGCATTTTGGACTTCAGATTTTCAGATTAGGGATGTTCAATTTGGGATTTCTATTTGAATGATCTTTAGTAGATTGTGTCTTTCTATAGATTTGTTCATTTTACGTAAGAAATTGAATATATCAATAAAGTTCATTCTGTTCTTATTCCTTTCATGACTGTAGAGACTATAGGTGTCCCCTTTTCAATCCTAGTGGTAAGTTATTGCTGCTGACTTTTTCCTTGACAGCTTGGCTAGAGGCTTATAATTTTTATAGGTCTTTCGGTGACCAGCTAGGTGGTATAGTGGTTAAGGCATTGGATCCCACATGGCCAGTTGCACTCACTGAGTCCCAGTCCATGTGGCACCAGGTGCATATGTGTACATGCCCAGAATTATGGGAGGAGAATGAAGGAGAAGGGATTGTGGTATGATCATCCCCTCTGGCGGTACTTTCTAACTTCCTCTCTCTTTCTCTCTCTGTCTGTCTCCAGTGAGCACACATGCCCTCTAGCAAACTTATGGGAAGGAAAAAAGAGAGAGAAAAGAAAAGAAATAGCTTTTGGTTTCATTGATTTTTCTCTATTGCATTTCTGTTTTCTAGGTCATTGATTGATTTCTGGTTTTCTGTTTCCTTCTCTTCTGTTTAGTTTGGGCTTAAATTTTTGAAGTGTGCATTGTTTTTGTTTAGGATAGAATTTTAGGTTATTAATTTAAGACCATTCTCTTTAATTTTTTAAATTGCTAAAGGACGTGCACACTCATGAAAAAGAGAGAGAGAGAGAGAAAGCATCCCCGCATGGTCATGTCACAGTTCCTTCTCCACCATTTCTTCATCTTGCTGTAATTTTGGCCACATACACAAACATGCCCAGTGTGGGTTTTTTTTTTTTTTTTTTTTAGATTTTTTTTTT